TGGCTTCGCCCGGGTTCGAACCGGAGACCTTCAGTGTGTTAGACTGACGTGATAACCAACTACACCACGAAACCTTTGTTGTATACTCACTATTCCTTAATTATAACTTCACCAGTAAATCTTACTTGGTATAACCCCACCATCAACCTCCAAGAACCCATTATGCTCTATGTGGCAATTTTCTTGTCGGCATATGAATTATTAGCCTGCTGAAAAAAGATTGAAAGAGGTTTGTAGTGGCACAACATTAATCATGAATCCCACATCCAAAACTAGTCTCGGTTAAGTGATTAGAATAGCTAGTAGATGCAATCAATTGAGCAATGATGATCAATGAATCAGCTGAGTCATGTGGAATCAGAATTTCGACTAGGTAGATTTTAACACCTTGTGATAAATGTAAAAGGTCCCCCTTCCTCCTTGATTGCATATTATTACTGTGTTAAGTAAAGTGTTAGGAAGAGTATCATTCATTTTATCCAACTGAAACAATGGCCTCTCCAAAACCACATTTTTCATCTCTTCCTCTTCCTCTGGTTCTTATCCTCTGTTTCTCAACCTTCCAGTATTCCAACGCCATCGGCAAAGGCTACCGTTTGATCTCTATGGACAAATCCGACGATGGCAGTTTCATTGGCTTTCTCCAAGTCAAGCAGACAAATCAAATCTACGGCTCTGATATCATCTTCCTCCGTCTCTTCGTCAAGTAACACCCACTTTTTTTACTTTTTATATTCCTCTGCTTCGCACCCTACACACTACTCAACGATTTTTAACCGTTGGATTTTTCTCATTTCGATGCAGGCACGAGACTGATGATCGCCTTCGTGTTCACATAACAGACGCCAAGATTCAGCGATGGGAGGTTCCGTACAATCTTCTCCCGAGGGAACCACCGCCGCCGCCGGTCGGGGAAGTGATCGGAAAATCTCCGGTTACCGTCCAGGAGATAACCGGATCGGAGTTGATATTGAGCTACACAGTCGACCCTTTCAGCTTCGCCGTGAGACGGAGATCCAACGGCGTAACGATTTTCAACACCAGCAGCTCCGATGAGGTCTTCGGGGAGTTGGTGTTCAAGGACCAGTACCTTGAGATTTCAACTTCGCTACCCAAAGACGCGTCGCTGTACGGATTAGGAGAAAGCTCACAAGCCAACGGAATCAAGCTTGTTCCTAATGAGTCTTACACTCTCTTCACGAAGGACGTCTCGGCGATTCACCTCAACACCGATCTGTACGGGTCGCATCCGGTTTACATGGATCTGAGAAACCTCGGAGGTAAACCCTATGCGCACTCCGTTCTCCTTCTCAACAGTAATGGTATGGATGTGTTTTACAGAGGTACTTCGTTAACGTACAAAGTCATCGGAGGCGTTTTCGATTTCTACTTTTTCCCCGGACCGTCGCCTCTCGACGTCGTCGATCAATACACGTCGTTAATCGGACGGCCTGCGCCAATGCCGTACTGGGCTTTAGGTGAAATTCCCATTTGTTCTCTTCTTAACTTGATTTTTAATGCTTTTGCTAATCTAATTTGTGTGTTCTAGGGTTTCACCAATGTAGATGGGGATACCGTAATGTATCAATTGTTGAAGATGTTGTGGACAATTACCAAAAGGCTAAGATCCCTCTTGATGTGATCTGGAACGATGCTGATTACATGGATGGTTACAAGGACTTCACCTTGAATCCTGTCAACTTTCCTCGGGATAAACTATTGGGGTTCTTGGAGAGAATCCACAAGATGGGAATGAAGTATATTGTGATTAATGATCCTGGTATTGGTGTCAACGCGAGCTACGGTGTATACCAGAGAGCCATGGCTAATGATGTGTTCATTAAATATGAAGGGAAGCCTTTCTTGGCTCAAGTCTGGCCTGGTCCGGTTTACTTCCCTGATTTCCTCAATCCAAATACGGTTTCTTGGTGGGCCGATGAAATCCGACGTTTCCATGAATTAGTCCCCATTGATGGTCTTTGGATCGATATGAACGAAGTCTCCAACTTCTGCTCTGGGTTGTGTACAATTCCAGAGGGGAAACAGTGTATGAGTGGGGAAGGACCTGGTGTGACGTGTTGCTTGGACTGCAAAAATATAACCAAGACGAGATGGGACGATCCTCCTTACAAGATCAATGCTACTGGAGTCAAAGCTCCTCTTGGTTTTAAGACAATAGCCACAAGTGCTTATCACTATAACGGTGCTCGAGAGTACGACGCTCACAGCATCTACGGGTTCTCTGAGGCCATAGCGACCCACAAAGCCTTACTTGCTGTTAAAGACAAACGTCCGTTTATATTGTCCCGGTCCACTTTTATTGGTTCAGGTCAATATGCTGCTCATTGGACTGGAGATAACCAGGGAACATGGCAGAGCTTGCAAGTGTCTATCTCGACCATGTTGAATTTTGGAATATTTGGAGTTCCCATGGTTGGTTCAGACATATGTGGATTCTTTCCTCCAACACCAGAAGAACTCTGCAATCGTTGGATTGAAGTGGGCGCGTTTTACCCTTTTTCAAGAGATCATGCTGATTACTACGCCCCAAGAAAAGAACTTTACCAATGGGGAACAGTTGCAGAGTCAGCTCGTAACGCGCTTGGGATGAGATACAAACTCCTTCCTTTTCTATACACTCTCAACTATGAAGCCCATATGACCGGCGCACCTATGGCTAGACCGCTCTTCTTCTCTTTCCCAGAGTACACCGAATGTTACGGTCTGAGCAGACAGTTCTTGCTCGGAAGCAGCTTGATGATATCTCCGGTTCTAGAACAAGGCAAAACCCAAGTGGAAGCATTGTTTCCACCAGGTTCTTGGTACCACATGTTCGACATGACTCAGGCCGTTGTCTCCAAGAACGGGAAACGCGTGACTCTTCCAGCTCCGTTGAACACCGTGAACGTGCATCTTTACCAGAACATGATAATACCAATGCAACAAGGCGGGTTGATTTCCAAAGAGGCGAGAACGACGCCCTTTAGCCTCGTCGTCACTTTCCCAGCCGGAGTTTCAGAAGGATACGCCACCGGAAAACTCTTTCTGGACGAGGATGAGCTTCCGGAGATGAAACTAGGGAATGGGCAGTCAACGTACGTTGACTTGTACGCGTCTGTTGGAAATGGGAGTGTGAAGCTGTGGTCTCAAGTGAAGGAAGGTAAGTTTGCATTGAGCAAAGGTTGGGTGATTGAGAAAGTGACTGTTTTGGGACTTCAAGGAACAGTGCAAGCTTCTGAATTACATCTCAATGAAAACCCAATCTGGAACGAGGCCGAGAAGATTGAGGTCAGCTCCAAGGAGCAGAAGTATGTGGTGTGTTTGGAAGATGGAGGAGAGAATAAGAGCTTTATGGTTGAGGTCAAGGGCCTTGAATTGCTAGTGGGTAAGAACTTCACCGTATCATGGAAAATGGCTAGTATTATCAATGGCAACCATTAATTTACATGTGACTATGTGAGAGTAAGTCAATTATTAGGGAGGAAAATGCGATTATTGCAAAGAAACAAAAAGGGTAATGCCACTCAAAAAAGTTAATAGAGGTTTAGAAAATAAATAATGAGGTTTCTTGTTAAAAACGTTATCAAAGCCCAACACGTTCGTGCCTTAGTTGCATGTCCCATGTTCCATGAGATCAAAACAATAACATCTATTAGTACTACACATTCTCTTTACCAACTAAACAAGCAGGAGACGGCTCCTCTGGTTTAGGCATGGAAAATAGTTGTCGAAGTCCATTACATTCACAAGAAAAGCAACTTTAATACTAATCACCTAATCGCATTGAAGAAAATATCACTTAAAATTTACCATTTTCAAATTAGAATGTTCATAAACCATGCAATCTATTAAATATTTTTAAGATTCTTTTTTTTTTTTGGTTTGCCTCCAAAACCTAATAATATCTTCAAGTCATCTATTTATCTATATGTAATCGAAGTGGGATGCAAAGTGACTGAAGTCGTTCCGTGTGGCTTCATGGTCCATCGACGAGGTATCAATCACCCGATCAATCAGCATAACCATGGCATCTGTTTCACTCATCATATTGGTCTAGGGTACTTGAAATGTGGAGTTCGTCTCCAAAGTATTAATCAATTAGTCAATACAATGTACCATGGAGCTTATCCGTGCTCAATTTGCCAGAACTATTCAATTCAACGCGCAATGGGAGGTAACACACCAAATGGGTTTGTGGAATGGGATAAAACTTGTAAGAATTCCTGAAAACATCGATAAGAAATTGCAACATTTTGAGTGGTGTGCTTTGTAGCTGAGAACTTGTTTACACATTTCAGTCATGAATAAACAACATCATATGATACTCAATAATGAATCATTCATGGTGACGTGGCATGCGTCCTCCCTCTTCAATCTGACCCGATTTATAATTGCGAGTCATGTGATTTTGTTCTCCACGAAACGTGAACAAATCTTCCCTGGAAAAAACGTCAAGGGTATCATGGAAAACCATTTACGTGGTTTTAGACATGGCTTCTCCCGAAGTCTGTCAATTTGTTGTTTTTGAGACATTCGTTCGACACTTGTTTCAAATGCATATAAAGGTTGATGTTGGCTTTGTTCGAAAAGATAAAGAGAAGAAAATAAAAATCTGAAAAACTCTCTTTTTCTCGACAAGTTTACATGACTACAATTGACACACTTATATATATGTACAAGTGAAGAGTTAAACTTTTAAACTAAATAACTACCTTTCTTCACTACCTTTCTTCTTTGACAAGTTACAACTTTTGCATACTCCCTCACGTATATGTATTATGTAAGAATACATTTAAACTCAATTATAAACTAACAATCCCCCTTATTGAGTTTCCGTCTCACATTAAGATGCTTTAGTTGTCTTTAGTCTTTGGTTTCTTTACAAGATACTAAACCTTCTTCTTCTCGATCATTCAGCTACTTTATCCATGGCTTCTCTCCATTCTCCAATTTCAGAGGCTTTTACCGTATGAGCTGAATCTTTTCACTTTTTGACATCTTCTTCTTAGCCTGTGTTTCCATTGTTTTGCAATTGACACCTTGTCAATTCTTTCTTTTTCAGACATTGGAACTCTTGGTTTTTCTCTTACCTATGAGCCTTCTCCATGTCTCCATCAAGTCTCTCGTGGACTTTCCTCGCGTCTCCTTGACGTATCTTTTTCGGTTATCTTTGTAACCAGTTCCCATTTCAGACATTGAAACTCTTTGGGTTTTCTCTTACCCGCAAGCTTTCTCCATGTCTCCTTGAAAGTCTCTCGTGGACTTTCGTCACGTCTCCTTGACGTCTTAAGCGTGAATCTTCTCCACGTCTTCTTCGGTATCACTATAACCGGTTCCCGTTTTGTGCGTGAATCTGCGGTTATCACTATAACCGGTTCCCGTCTCTTGCGTGAAACTACTTTTTTCCTCTTAGGTAAGCAGCCTCTTTCCTTGCTTGGTATCTTCCTTTGATCACCAGCCTCGGATTCCTTTGTCTTGTTTCACTTTAAGAACTATTTGTGTCCTCAACTTCATCGAGTGATGCCTTCTCCGCATCCTTGTTATATGTAAACTTAGAAAGAACTTGGGGAAAACCTTGTTTCTTATTCATCAAAGGCGACAGCCTTATATACAACATGTACATCTTTAGGTTACTTGATACACAAGCTAAG